GTCCGTTTTATCCTAACGAGGACCCTTTGATCTCTCAAAACACGAGTTTCGCCACTAAATCTCTAAGCATTTCAAATATGAATTAACGCGCGCATATGTTGTACGCCACGTGAAAATTTATGTAAACAACCCGACGCACGAGTCCGCGAATATTTTATACGTTATGTAATCGCATAGTATAACGCGGTCGGCAAAATATTAGAATATTAAGATTCAATCGACGGCTCATTTTCTCGAGCAGCCGTCATAAAGCGACTTTTAACGACTTCGCATTTGTTGGCGTGATGCGCGCAGCTGTCGTTACTTTTGACTGGCGAAATTCCGATAAAACGAGCGAAATTTCGCGCGGATGCATCTTCGCGCGCACGTGGAATATAACGAGTTCCGGAACGAACGATATCGAATAATCGTCGCGTGTGACAGTCGACACCCTCTATTCTCGTCAAAGCTTTTCGCCTTGAGTGTTGAATAAAAAATCGAAATGTTAACGTTGACGTTAACTTTGATGTTGTATATCGTGTGTATTTCGCGGAATACACGATAAAAAGGGAGACGTGTATAGGCGAGAGTTACCGTGGTAATTCAACTTCAACCTTTTCTTCTTCTTCACAACTTCAATTACGGACACACTTTTTCCTCGTTCGCATTATGCAGGCCTATGTTTTACAAATTACTCGATCCTTATGCGATGCTATATCGCTTCGAGCATCATTTCCCGAGTCACTTGGGTCACGTAGTATTTGCCAGTAATTCTCAATCATAATTTGTAATAACAAGTTACGCGATCGTAATTCTCGTAACGGAAACGTCGCCTACGGACAGCATATTTTTCATGTGTGCATTACACTTTACACGTTCACGCTACTACGGTTTATTCAGATGATTTTCCACAGCTCACTTCATATGTGTTTTTTTTCTTCTTTTGTGATTTTGTTATAAAACAGACTTAGACATATGATATAGAAAAGAAACTTTTCGCCGTCACACATATGTGACGCTGATCTCCAGTGAAAGATCGTTGCGACATACATATGTGATGCTGGTAGCGAACGTGTTAATATAATTTTTATGACCGATATATTTCTTCTTGACAATTCTCGTGACTTTTTTCCACGTGGTACCCTTATACGTGACTCATAGTCACAACTGTAATTGCTAGTCTGCCGAAGAAACGCGGTAATTCATACGTCAAAAATACTTTTAATTGCACATTTCCATGCGCGCCTTACGTCATTTTCGTGGTAAATTGAGCCGAAGCTCGCCCGACACGTTTAACAACCTCCGTGACCACATTGCGCGACGTATTATTTTTTATCTTATCTGACGAGCGTACAAAAATTATTATTGAACAGAGCCACTTTACGTTCGTCCGCAAATAAGAGTCGGCAAAAAGAAGCCGCAGGCGGTCGCGAGGCTTGGTTAAAACGTCGCTTTTGTAATTACAATCGCGTTCGCGTCTCAGAGTTCGCGACGGGAGTGCATGCCAAATGTTGCGCCTAATAGATTCCCGTTGCCAAGGAGTGCAGCCAGCTGTGTATCAATTTATTAATCTGACCGGTGCTCTCCGAGAAATGGGGTCAGAGTCCGACTCGTATTTTTTCTGTAAGCGATGCTCGGCCGATCTTTCCGTCGTGGAATTTTCTACTCGTGTTAGAAACAAAAGTAAAAATATCACTCTTGACTTCGGCGTATGTGCTAATCGGTGGATCAAATCGATGCGCACCGAAATGATAAACAAATAAATTTTCCACGACTATTATACGGCAGGCAATTCGAGATACAATGCGAACCGATCTCCAGTAGTTGTGCAGAAAACCGCATGAGTTATTACGTCGGGCATTTTCGCCGCGCTATTTATAGCTTATAACTTACAGCTTATTTGTTTATATTTGTTCTATAAAATACGAGCAACGGCGAAAGCTCTATCGGCAGTCGACGTGCGATGCATAGTCGTAATGAAAAGCCGTGCGCCATTAGTCGCGTGTCGTTGCCGGAAATGGATGGCTGTGTGTTTTTTCCCCCTTCCTTCGCACACGAAAATCGTGTGATGTTGCCGCGGCCCGTCACGTGCACGCGCGTTTCTGATATCGCCGACCGACTGCATGTAAAATGCCGCCATTCTCGTTCTCCTGACGTGCATTTCGCACGGACGCTGTGGAAATCCGATTGAACGCGTGCCACGTGCGGTATATCATCTTTCTGTTACGTTCTTGCGCGTTGAAATTTTTTCTGCGTGTCCCTTTTAAAAGACGGATCTCTGGTTTTCTGCATCGTGGGAAAATCTACTTTGCCACGCAATTTCGGACCAAGTATGAAATCGATAACGCGGTTTAAAAGATCCAGCAAGCCAAGAACCTCGGCAAGATTAATGCACCTTGACCGAACTTCTCGTGTTATCCGCGACTTGGAACTGACAATCGTTGTTGTCCTGTTAAATGCAGCGTGAAATCATCACTCGTGTCATTTTAAACGCGCAGCGCATTCTCACAAGCGAAACGAAAAGCGTAATACGCGACTTCGTCCTTGGCCGTTCCCTCCCTCTCTCTTTCTCTGTCTCCATCCCCCCCTCCCCCCTCTCTCTCTGTCTCTGTTCTCTGCCGTCCGCCGATCTCGACCGAAAATACCAAACTTGCCAACTCGCGCGAACGAAAATCGTGGTATCGACGGCGTCCAAGCCGCTGGCGTGCAATTACTCGCGCGCTTAATTACTTCGCCAGGTTTTTCACGGCGCGACGGCGCGCGCTCACTCGCACTTTTTATTCGCGAAACTCGAAGAAAGAATTCTCCTCGCATCGCGCTTTTCTCCGCGCGCCTCGACCCTTTCACTTACGGACTCATCAATCTCTCCTCGGCTGCTTTTCCGACACGGCCGCGATCCCTCATTTCCAACCGTCTCTTGTTCCCTCTCTTCCGTGGCAGTTTCGCTCGCGTTACGTAAGCTCGCATTATCATATCTCACATACGTCGCGCCGTCGTATCTCACATTACCGCAGAATTCATTGACACTCGCGGTAAACACATTCATTTTTTATTATACTCGTGCATAGAGCGCACGCCAGTCTTTCATTCGTTTTAGAAACCATAAAATACCGTTTTAGGTGACTTTGTCGGTGTTTTATAACCCGTTTAACTTAACGGTGTAATTGAAAACACTGAACAAAGCATGCAAACACGCACATCATGCACATACTTTGTTAATCTGAATTAATTCTACGAGTCGGTAGTTTTGCGAAAGGAAAAGATAGACACACATCGACGTATTGCCTTCTTGTTTCTTTTCTTTTTTTGAATCGTTGGTATAGGTGTCACATTGACCCACTTGCATATGGCTTGGGATACTTTATAAATATTTTGCGGAATGAAGTGATTCGCAGAAACGCTGAGTTTCGATGAAATCTCATGTTTACCATATAGTACGTGCACGCAAATTCTGCTCGACGTTCTGCTATTACACCATGTGGTTTCCACCGAATGCACGTGCCGTGCACGTATATAAACGCACGGGTTAATAACGTTACTGACTTCATGAGCCGTCATAGTTAAATATTTTTGTCCGTCGACCGCTAATGGTGGACGTTAATGTCGGCGCGTGGTCGGTCGATATCATTTACGAGATTTCGCGAATTTCTTGCTCGCGTCATCGCTACAACTTGGATCTTGTAAAACTCGAATCACATCATATTTTAACTTTGTCGAAATATCGCGCCGTCGCAATTTATTAATACGCTATGCATGTTAACCACACGCATTTAGATCGCTACGAATATATCTCTTTCGTTTCATTGCCGCTCGTTACCTAACACTTGTTCACGTGCACGCGTAAAAATGGTCGCTCTAATAACGACGTGCACCTGTGTATCGTATTTTTGTGCGTATCGATCGAGCTGTTAACTCGCAATTAACGTCGCGCGCGTCCGTATCGTGGAATTTTCCGGCATTCCCCGAGAGACTTTAATTTTGCGGCGACTGTTGTGCTCCCTTCGTGCACGGTTAACTTACGACACGCACACATGTACGTATGTTCGGTTTAAAAATTTTTCTTGTTTTTATATTAAATTACACGCTTTCAAATATATCGTTAGGTTGGCTAAAGAGCATTCCTCGACGTCTCAGATCACTCTGTAAACAGCCGCCTGTTACACTTTTGGTGGAGTCAAAGCCATAAATCGCTTCCTCCGGTCGTATGTCCAACAAATGAACTATATGTATACATATATAACATACGCGATATATAATAGTGGCGAGATATAAATTTACAACATTGTGTGGTATGCGTGTGTGCGTCCTCGAAAAATTACATTAATATTGCATGTCGCCCGCTATTTTATCGGACGCTATATTTATCAGACCGTTGCTTGTTTCTTCCATGAGGTAATTGGGTGTCTATATCTCCGGAAAACTCCGTGTGGTCCATTCGCAAATCGATATATTTCATGCCCGTGACAGGTGCCGGCTCGTCTGCGTAAATTTGTCATGTGTCCTCCAAAGCTCCAAAAATAAGTTCCCTCTCCATCGGCTGTCTCGGCGCATATTGTAACCCTTTGACTCGTGCCGCGTTTCTTTAATTAAAGCACTCTTATCAAATACAAGGAAGGATTAATTCCGGAGTCTTGCATTGAATCTTTAGGTCGTATTCTAGAAAATGACGTTAATATTATTATCTCTTTTAAAGCAGATATTCTTACGACTTTTCACGACTCTGAATTAAGTGCGATTTTTACGGTAAAGTAACTATATATACTGAAAAAAAATAAGTAAAAATTAACAAATATTTATTTTAGGTAGATACCATTAACACACATATTTACCTAAATTAAAATTTTTTCACTCAAATCGAGTAAACAATGATTTAATAATAATTAATTTAAATAAATATGTTAATGTATTCACCTAAGAAATATTTGTTAATTTTTAGATATTTTTTCTCAGTGTGTGTGTGTATATATATACATATATAATATGAAGGATATAAATAATTTTAATTAGACAAAGAAATTTAAAGAGACAAAGAATTTTAAAGAGACAAAGAAAGAGAGAAAGGGACGGTATTTTACAGTGGAATACTTTTTCTACGACCACTTTTCAGGTATTCGTAACAGTTATCGCACAGTACACTCGCTAGAGATAGCTTTACTATTAACATCTAATAAAAATTAACAACGTGAGATAACTGTTATCGCTATTTGTATTTCTTTTACACTCGTTAGCCACGCGGGAAAGAACGTTAGTTAGTATATCGTCCATCTTGTTCGGTTTACCTCCGCTCCGTAGATAAGGTCGACACGCGGTATCACTCTCGCGACAAAAATAATACAATTACGCTATTAGAATTTTAAATAGCGCGACGGTGCGCAACGGGCAATTTATCGTCAATACGGCGCGATGTGAAAAGAACTCGCGGCACGTTTTCTGCTTGGCAAACTCTCCAGCGGTGATATTAGGTCAACCATTTGTAAAATTTGCCGTCGGTCGGGGCCCCTCGTGTGCGCGCGAGTGGCAGTTTGCGTAGGCGATCCGAATAGAGGACCGTGACCGCGGGAGCCCTAACTATATTGCGTACGCAAACCCCGTGCGGAGAGAACGTTACAAGTATGATTGCGTACGGCGAGTTTGTATTTGCGCGAACCTGCACAAACGCACATGCGCAAACGCTCCGTAATTTCAGGTCAGTTATCGTTTTCCCTAGTTTCAATTTAATTACAATAGGAGCTGTCGTTACAAAACGGCATATCGTCGTTAACGTACGACAGTGCCGCGGTCTACCGCACCGTGTACGTAAGTACGCCCACACAAATACATACGCCCACGTATGTACACACACACACACACACACGCACGCACGCACACACACACACACACACACACACACGAGCTGGACGATTCGTAGAGCGCGGTTGACACCACGGTGTGGCGCACGAATTCAGATCACGCACGCGTCGTGCTTTTTTTTTATGTCATTAAAATTCATTCCAACCGATAATGATAGTAATGCGCGCAAATAACGTTACGCAACGTAATTACGGACGACATTTATACGCGCGGACGTGGCTCGTCATTTTTTAAATTGAAATCTATTTTAATTAATGATAATAATGAGTGCAAATAACATCGCGTAATATTAGCGTATTATTGGCAATGCGCATATCCACGTGCACACGATAACGGATAAAAACCAGATTATCTCGCTTGCTTTTCATCGTTAGCGCGGTGAACGTACGCTGTTTCACGCACCGCTACGCCGTGCTCCCGCGGCCGTGTAGCACAACGTTAAAATCAGTTATTATCGGTGAGTAAACGCGGCGGCAACATTTAACGCTTAATTATTTTACCGCGGTGCAACGTGGCGTGTCAATGCGAAAATGGCCGCCTTTTTCCCCCGTGTTTCCGTTCCGCGCCGGAATCTAAAACGCTACGACGGACGCGACGGGAAAGTTGGCCGCTAAATTTTCATTTCGAATAATTCCGTCAGCATCGAAATACGTCCTGCATTTCGCCGAACACGCGCTTTTATTTAGTCGATCTAAAAATGCCAGAGGTGAATTCGACACGGCACGTACTCTAGCGGGATATTATCGGTTTTTTGCGCGCGCGCTCTTTCTAATCTCGATTTTCTGCACTCTCGATCGTCGCAGAAATCATTTTAATCCGTGCAATCTACGATTGAGCTATATTCTGCGACGCACGCACACCCGCGCGTCTGTGGAATTAGTATCTTTCTCTCTCTCCTCTCTCTCTCTCTCTCTCTCTCTCTCTCTCTCTCTCTTATATACACATACACTCTCTTTTTTTCGGTTTAGCTCACAGCACGCAGACTCGAACGAATGAACGAACGCATATATGCATACCTCTACGCACACACGCACTTCAGGGTGACGTGTCACGCGGCAGATTCACGCTCCGCGGACGTGAAGTAATTGCAATTAAAATTTGTTTCGCGAAATTGTTTACTCGCGCTCTCTCCGCACTAGACGCGCGTGCGCAGCGAAAGCTTTTATCCCGCGCACGTTTCACCTTTACCGCAATTTCCCGGCGAATCGAAAGTTGCCATTAGGAGCTCGTTCCCTCTTTTTATTTCTCCCTCGACCGTAATTAACGATTCGCGACCAATAACAACCGTCGAATGATGTGCTATCGTGATCGCGTAGATCACCGTAGATTGAACTGTCGAGCATACGATTCATTGCTTTTGTTGTACTTTATTGTCGATTGCTATTCTTTGCCCACGCGATTTGACGCGTAATCACAACTCTGGTGTTCTCTTCTGGCAATTCGTTGTAAGAAAAGTGTGCCACTTGCTCGGAAAATTTTTCTAAACAATTAATGCTATCGCGGTCGATCATTCTTCTATTTACAATATCGCAATAATGTTAAGAGACATTTTGATTTTGAATAATTTATTAATAATAATTATAATAATTATAATTTATAATAATTTATTCTTTAATAATTCATACCATAAGCTAGTAGTTGAAAAAAGGACAGTTAATCGTAAGACCGAGCTTAATCAATGTTATAGATCGTAAATACTTTACCGAATTTGCTCGTTAGTCCGATTTGCAGCGGCCTCCGCGCGGTTTCTCTGAAAATCACATGATCAGCATTGGGTGTACACATTATTATTGAACTTAAACATCTGTGACGTGGACGAATCCGAACTGCGTACCGATTACCTGCAATATTTCCGGTACACCCGGCTGTTAATAATGCATCTATTATTAATGAACGAACTCGGGCGCGATGTTAACGGCCTGCAGACTCGGCAATACGTCACGGGACCCGATAATGCACCGCGTGGGACAGGTGACGTGTAATTGTAAACTCGATCAAAAAGGCCGCCGACTGCCAATGCGATCGGCCGCCGCATTTGCTGTTTGCGTCATATACGCGTCCCCTCTATATCCACCCCGTCATACCGTACGCGTCATACGCAGAGGTCATTCCACGAGTTTTCCAAATGTTTAATCATTAAAAAAGTTGTTGACAGAAAATCTGCCGCGTCTGGGTTTATATTTCGCCGAGTTCGACGTTTCAAAATATTACACGGAGTAGCGGCTAAAGTGCCAGCAACGGGTCAAAGTCGAATTTTTCGTAAATTAATTCCTTAAATTCTCCGTTGAGCTTGGAGGTAAGAAAATATTAAATAATCCAATAAACATTAATGAAAGAGTAAATTTTCTTTATAATTTCTTCATAAATTTTTTTTTATTACTGTCGGAAATTCTGATACGACTTGGAGATGCGGAAAAAAGGAGAAGAAAACAATAAAAATAGCAGTCGCGTAAACGATAACATTGTGTACATCAATAGAGATTTTTATTTAGAAAATAAATTTATTCAGAAAATAAATAGAAAATTTTTTATATAAAATAACTCTGTAAATAAAAGTGGAAAAAAAGTTATTGACGAATTCAAGATAAGTTGCTGCTCAAAGAGCATTGTTAAATGCACAAATCGATACTCGCGAGACCCGCACTAGATTCTAAAGCCAATATTCATAGTAGCAAATTATTTATGATGTTCGATTAAAAGCATAATTAATCCCAGATTACATATAAATATTTCTAGACAGACGTCCGAATTTTATCTATCAGCCAATCGATACGTCCGATAATACTTATCGTATGACACATGTAATATTAGTCTTATTATAAGTACGAAAGTGCGAAAAGTGCAAACAACACGAACATATGTGAAAAGGATTTAATTCTTAGTACATGTGCGGAGATCCATCGTGGACATGACTATGTGGACTTGGATGGTTAACATCATCCAAGGCTGACGAATATTTTATATTTTATATCTCAAATTAAATCATTCATTTGTTTTATATCTCAAATTAATTCATTTTTTTCTAACAATTATTGAATTAATTTGTCGAGATGGGTAAACAAAAACGACAGCGAGAAAAGCTACATAAGAAAAATCCCACCGTCCGTTAAGGATTTTGATGAAATCGAAGATATAAGGGAAGAAAGAAAGACAGCTTTACTGGATATTTACAATGAAGTAAGCGTATCAATTGTTTATATTCTATAATCGCGTCGCCTATTCTAATTTTTTTCTAACGACAACGTCCGAAAGCACGTTGTCGCGCATTCTTCGTCCCCGCCGCATTTCCCGATTCAAGATTTTATTTCCTGGCCGCTCTTTGTGGCATTCACGCCTTCGTAGGTACGACTTAATTGGATAAACACGTCGGTATTAATCATGCCTTAATATTAATTAAGATAATGTCGACGAGAGAGTCGGAGATTGAATATTTCAAAAGAATTCGCGAAAATATTCTCATTACATACAGCGGAAATTGTAACTCACCGACTCGTGACGTGTAATATAATATAACGCTCGAGCAGGGGAAAGTGCGCGCGAGAGAATACAAGTAATGAATAAGTAGTGCTGCGTTATCTCTCGCGTCAATCGTGTCGCTGAACGCGCGCGGCCGCGAACACACACGCGCGACCTTCGCAACGGTCGAGCCTACCCTTCGCTCGCTGCGCCGCGTGCTTACAGACGTTCATTACGCTTCGCGCCGGCAAGCGTCGCGTATATCACGGGGCCGCGTACATCGATAATTTATCGTTTTCCCCGCGTGATCAAAAATATCGTGTCGATCCTTATGACGTAACTCAGCACCGACTAAACCGCGTTATTTAATAATACGGGTGTCTCCGATCGAGTCGTATCTACGCGAGTGTCAGTGTTAAGTGCCACGGCGGAGCTACCAGGATGCCGAAACGAGAAGCCAGGACGGAGGACGCAGTATGCCGCCACGTGCACAGTGATACATCATACATTTCCAAGGTATGTCAAGCCATTTGTTACACGGGAGGCTTCTGTTCTTAACGCACGTTGTGTACGAACTTCCTGAGGATAAAGAAACAGCCGAGCCGAAGTTTAGGCCGGCATTCGTGGTCTGTCATCATTTGTTGAGTAATTATAGCTTGATAAATTGCAGATTATTCGTGTTTGTACTCTTAATATATTGTGTATATTATTTCATACACTCAAAAGACACATCGATCCAAACAGCCCAGTAACGGGTCATAAATATGAATCTGTAATTAACTACGTTTTCAATCAAAGATCCTGAATAATTCACGATCATGAAGACCGGCTTTAGAGTTTAACATAAATCTCGCAAATACTGATTTTCACGTGCAATAATGCTCCTTGGGCAATAAATAGGATCTTGTTCATATCTGCCAGCGTTTTCTTTTCATTTGTGTTTAGCCTTGTTATTTTACGGAATCCAAGTTTAAATCTCTGTTGGGAAACACATTATTGGGCGCACAATTGTTATCTTTGTCTTCACAGCTTCTTTATCGGCTCATTTAAGAGCACCAAATTTTATCGATATTTTCAACGACAAAAAAAGGATTATGTGAGAATAAGAATTTGTTACTGACTAAATTATATAATTAGTACATTTATTATATAATTATATAATTAATTACATATAATTATATAATATTAATTTAATTATATAATAATTTTTATATAATTGTAAATACATTGTAATAATTAAAAATGGGAATAAAAATTAAACGTGTGTAAGATATGTCTCGAAATAATCAAATATTAAATAATTCTTAGACAAATTCTTTAAATTTCGACATAAAAGACGCAACAAGTAAACACTTGTAGTATAATAGCCTATATTGTAGGATAATAGCCTGTATATTTCGAGATTCTTCATTGACTTTTCAAGTTCGACGGAATTTGCAGGGTTAATGTAGAATCAAAATTTCGACTCGGGGAGCGCGCCTCGCGTTTTCAAGTGTAAAGATGAACTTACTGAACTTAGTTCGCTGATACGAGAAATTCCAAATTTATCGCAACTTCGCGATTCTTCTCTTTTCATCAAAATGCAATATATAAAGAAACAGATTGATTATATTGTATTCGGCAAACAAAGTATATAGAAAGTACGTTCTCGAAACGTGTATAAAAACGTAATATTGTTGAGAAATGGATAAATATATATATATATTTATTACCATTCAGCTATATACATTAAATAGCCAAGAAGGGGACTTGGTTTACATTAAACAACTACCTCACACATTTCATACATCCTCCATTCATTCATTCTTTCCGTTCCTCCATACTTTCTATATCTATATCACATTAAATTCTCCTCTCTCTTTCTTCTTTCCTTTACCCTATTTCATTTTGTCCTTTTTCTTTTTCTTTTTCTCCTACTCTTTCTCTCTCTTTGATTTTACCCTCCCTGAGAAATGGATAAATATACTTTCATCTATTACCAGGTAGCTTTCTTTATAATAACATGACTGATAATCTTTGCGCTCGTACACGCCGCATGGATATTCACGTGTTAACGGTATTTAAATGATATTGAACCAGTTCTACGGCCGGTTGCTCTACGACGACTTATACGAAACGTTGCACTCGGTGCTCGATCACTTTCATGCGAACGGAGAATTTCTCAGGGATGTAATGCCGATGGCGTGTGGCTAATGAATCGCGATTAGACCGCGAATAATTTCGTTTTTATACACGTTGAATGAGGCTTTATCCGTTCACACGCACGAATGTCGTTTACGATGGTATATCGCGAAACATATCGCCCGCAACTTCACGTGACGCAGTAAAATCTCAACGAGAGTTACGCGTCGCGAGTTCCGATAAAAATCACATTTGCAGCGTGTTACGCGTTATTAAATTTTTATTACTGATTTTATTCTATTTGGCGATTGGAGTTCTGCGCAACAAATAATATCCCTCGTTGTGTTTTAAAATATAAACGCCCGGTTTCTGCAGATTTCGATTATTCTGCATCGTGTGGCCGAATTAATTCGGACAATCGAGACTCACTCCGATTTGTTTACATCGGGTAATTTACCGCTGCGCCCGGAAAATTTACGGGGCGAGGATTAAAAACAGCGGCGCGCATTAAAATATCTTTTTATCGAGCGACGAGTCCGCGCGTCCGGGCGAGGTGTCATAACCCGAAACGTAAAGAATGATACGGGCGGATGGCGGGACATGCAGCGGCAAGATTTATAAGGCTCTCACGGGCCGCCATAAAGCTTGAGAATTCTATTTATTTCGCGCATGCGAGAGACCAAATGTGGGACGGACGCGCGATGAGATAAATTTACGGTCCTTTTTAGGCATCAAATCTGGCGGGCCGGCGAAGTTTGGCCTGCAGCCAGAGGCTCCGGCCGCCGCGAAACTACACCAACACGCGAACGCGGCATTATGAGGATATTTAATTTGTGCTTCGCGCTGTTATATTTCACTCGGCGTAGATGGAATGGCCTGTTCTCTCGATTCCCCGTTTCTACGCGCCTACACGTGATTTACCGTGATCCCTATCGAGCCGGCTTCGAAATTCGCACTGATATATATTTTTTTTGCCTCTCTCTCTTTCACATGTACACATCACACGCGCACATATCTCGCGTTCTTTATTTTAAATTTCTACGGGCAACCCTTCTTTTTCATCTCAATTCTCTACTACACGCCGTAATATCCGTTTTTCATTCGGCTGCTGCGAGGATTAACATCATCTGTCATCAGGAATAAGAGCAAGAGAGTAGTCAACTTACGTTTGCTCGAAACTCGGAATATTTTTGTATACATTCCAGAAACTTGGCGCGTTTTGATAGATTACGAAGAAAAATGGGGTACTAAATTCTCGTCGATGTACGCGCAATTAAACGGAAGTGTACAACTCGTTGCCGGAACGAATGTTGTCCGAAATCGCTTTTCGGAGCTTTTCAGCGGCGCGGCAATAAGCTCTACCGGGAAAAGGGATGACATTGAAAATCCATGATGTTAAGAATTCCACTGCGAATGAATGTTTAACACGGCGAGCGCGGACGGTCGCGTTTGCCTCCACGATTATCCACGATAATAATTAACGACGCGTACGTATTTAAATAAATCGTCATTATTGTCATTGCACATGTTGCGATAATCAAGGGGCATCATTACCGGGGCGCACAATCCGGTTATAATAATAAAAGCACGCGTAATAACCAAGATAACAAAATAGGGCACATGGGTCGCTATATCGCGCGAGCTGGCCGAGGAGATGCTCTCGCGAGTGTGAAACTATCCTTTCGTATCTCACCAAATTTATTCGCGCAACTTTTCGATACAAACAGCGCGCACGCGGTAGTTAAAAATGCAATAACTAATTTCCTCGTTCCGTAACGACGGAGAAGTGTGCGTGAACGTCCGTTGAACCTCGGGGACCGGCACGTCAGTTAAGAGCTAATCGGCTCCATTTTTAATGATTTGCGCGACAGCACAAGCGCTGCCGATAGCCCGCTATTTACGTACATACGAATCGAAAACACGCGAAACGAATGGGCGGCTACGAGTGGATTGCATTCGGCGAGTCGCGGGTCGAATGTAAAGCGCGCGCCGTATTAAAATTTCACACCACCGACGTCGGGGGGACGACTACTAATTTCGTGTCGCGCGCGGGATTCATTAGTACCAGTAATTTCATTTCGTATACTGTAATCCGCGCGTGATTCACCCCTCGTGCTCGCTCGCGTACGTACGTATGCGTTATGCGCGCGCCATTATTCAGTTACGTAGCTTTGTAAAGATCTGCATTATTCCCACGGTGGAGAGAAAGAGAGAAAGAAAGAGAGAGATATGCCAGTCTGCGTTGCGAGCCGCCCCTCCCTAAATGCGCCTCTCCTCTTATTTTCTCTGCTCTTGTGCAAGATTATTATCCGCGCGCGCACGCATACACGTGTACGCTTAAATAGCTATTGTTGCGCCGCCGAAAGGTCGCGTTTGTCGATCGATCGAGACGTACGCTTTCATCTTGCGATAATGATGGACCGTGAGCCTGTTTATGCGCAATCCTTCATTACAACGTTGTTGCCTTTTCTTTGCTGACTATTTTATATTTCTCTCTCTCTCTCTTTTTTCTCTCTCACTCTCAATACGATATTATCTTCCTTTTTCATATCTCGTTGCCTCGTAACTAGCTTTGCGAAGCGTACGACACGTTTCGTATTGATAGGATCGGTCTTGGTCCTCTTTATTGAGGATTAATCGTCTTTCTGGGTCGCGGCAACTTTCTTCCGAGATTTTCTTTCTGGATTTACTAATATTTCGATCTTTATTCGTTAAGACAACGGATTGTTTCATGTTGTATTTGGAACGATATTTGCTACATATTATGTAGGTTGTCTGACATCACGACAAGACATCACGATGTATAGGTGGACCACATCAATCTGAGCAAAAGATATCTTAACATTTTTCAAACCACGTAAAATTTCAAGTAACTAATAAAAGAAGATTGGCACGCGAGTGTGAAGTTGTGAGAGGATAGCTCATAGCGCGAGCTCATCGTGGTTGTTTGAACAGTGGCAAGGTACTTTCTGCTCAGTGGTCAACTATTCTGGATATGGTTTACCCACATACGTGCATTGGAATGTTTTGTATTAGACATCCTGTAGATATAGCCATGAATAAGCAACGTTGCTTCTGAACGGCGACCGTGAAAGTATTGCAACGTAAAAGGAAGACGAGGATACCGAGACCGAGAGTGATTTAACGAGGATCGCGTGTGCATGAGTTACAAGGAAGAGGCAGAACGTGAAAGTCTTGAAAGTTTCGCACGTAACGGCTGTTCACGGTTTCGCCCTCTTTACTGTGCCAAGACGCACGTCGATTAGGTATGCTTCATCGATCGCGTTAATAAACCTGTTCGGGCGTCGCTTGTATTTATACAAACCGGTGTTACGAAAGCTCCCACAAGAAGCACGTAACTATTCAGACAATCACGTGACATCAATCAATCGATT